TTAGTAACAAAATTATATTTCAGTACACATTTCAGCGTACAGAATGAACATTCTAAAATACATCAGTAGGTACTGCCTGCAAAACAATAATACCTAAACCAGTACGGTGTGCAAATAAAGCTAGTTTAAATTAAACACTGTTTAAATCTGTTTGTTTTGCCCCCATTACACACGGAACCATTGTTTATGTTGTTTATGTACGCGTATACGGGTCTGATGCTGTGTAAATGTTGTGCATGTCTTGACGGCTTTGTGGAGCTGGCAGGATTGTGTGGAAAGCTGAAAATTTTAATGTAGTATGAATTGATTGTGGAGTTAGTTTTGGTTTTGAAGTGATTTTTTTGTTGTGCTGTTGCCCTGCTACTTCGTCCGCGCAGAACATAAATTTGTTTTGTTTTAATTTTCCAAAATAAAAGTCCATATTACTCCTTAGTGCATCAGCCAATGAGTCTTGCAAAATCGGTTTAGCCATTCCAGAGATTAGCCAGTACAAACAGACAGAGAAAAATTGTAAAAAATGATATTTTATTTTTGTATATGTATCGTATGTTTATTCATAAGCATGTAGTAAAAGCGGTTATTTTGACATTAAAAACAGACACCCTAATTTTATTGATATATATGGATATACTCAAAAGTTATTTAAACTGTCAAACACCGAGCGGTCACCGGTGACCGCAACCTATTGATCTTTATTTGTGTCTACAAAACCGGTACTCGACGAGTTAAACCTGTATTGAGTACAATAGTCGTCGGTCAGTAACAGTTACTAACCTTATGAACCTATAGTAATAGTTATGAACCTAATTTTCTTAAGTATTGAATATTTGCGATGTCAGTATTTCCAACGAAATTAACAATCGAAGAAGAATTTTCTTCAAATTTAATCGAAATTTAGAGACTATTATTAAAATTATCGTTCTATATTTTTCAACGTCCCTCTATCGTAAGTCGAAATCACTATCGACATTGAATTTGCATCCCCCTTTTATCATCTCTTCCCTTGCTACCGACATATTTATCCATTTCTATCTTTATTGTCAAACCATTAAACATAAAAAAAAATGTAAAACTCCCGCCAAACAAAAGAAATATCACTATAATTCCATCATTCCACATTCAAACATCAAACTAGAATTCGTTATTTATATTCTGAAAGTTCGAAATTCAA